CACACACACACACACACACACACACACACACACACACACACACAGATAGACACACGTATACATGCTGCCTATAGGGAAAGTAGACATAGTAAGTAGTGTTCAAGCAGCCAGTTAAGCAGGTTGTGGAGAAGGTTGAGGGGGGGTAAAAAATTGGTTAACGATTGACTTTAGGTTGTAAACGTCGTGCCGCTGAGTTATTACACTAGAGATTGTCATAATCCGGACCACTTCATCGCTTTGCAAAGTATTCCCAAATCACGAAACAATATTCACGTAGCTCTATAATGCATCTGCAGCGAGGCTTGTTAAAACTGGAGTAAGTAGCCTGGTGGTGGCGGGGGGGAACACAAGACACGTTGCAGCTCAGAGTAGTTACAGAGCCAGAAAAAAAAAATACAGTAAATTAAGGTCTCAACGTTAACAGGGCTTCTTTGATCTGAAACGTCTTGGCAATACAGACACAGAATTGAATACACATCCACAAGTCAATGTAAGCCCCTCAACTGTAAATTGTGATTTGTGCGTGTAAAGCGCTACAACTCCAAGAACACGTAGAATAAAATGAAGTCAGAGGAAAAAATGCAACACTTACCGCACATGGCTCGAGCCTTGAAAAGTGGGTTTGTAGGGAAAAAAATGGAGGTTTATTTTCAGTGGGAGTAGGATGATGATGCTTCTCTCGCTCTAAGTATGCGCACGGTAAACTGGCAGTGAGCATTTAAACGGTGTTTCCTGGTGAGGCAGCGGGCGTCCCCACCCCTATTGACGCCTCCCAAGTCCTCTCGAATCCACATCTGTCACATCACGCGACACACGTAGGCCAACTTGTGTAGACAGCAATCACGGAATATCAACTCAGTTTGAACTGCTCAACATCTCACTACTACTACTACTATTACTACTGCAACAAGAACTAATCATAATAATACTACGGCAACTACTAATAATAATCATCATCATCATCATCATCACCATCATCCATCCACTCAGCCATGTTGCCTGCATTACTGTTGAGCACGTCTGCAATGACAACCTCCTAAATTTTAATTTCTTCCATGAGATTATATGAATTAATTCCCTATAGTCGGTTCCATTTACTTTGTGTTCATTACATTTAGCTGCACTGTTTTCAGAATGTGTACGTGGATGTTGGCTTTTTCTTTTGTCAAATCAGATTTCAGCATCTATGTGCTTTCATGCCAATGTAATTGACCCAGGGAATTCAGAATCAGGAGTGTGTGCCAATGTGATTTACTGTATTAGCAGTGGGATTTGGGGGTCAGCTACCTGGCCCACTACAACGTCAGCATGAGTCCATCCTCTGACTGGGTAGAGTAAGAAGAAAAGAAGTTCAACGAGCAAAGAAAAATCTGTAGCAATCTGTACAACTCCAGTGAAGTTGGGATGTTGTGTTAAACATAAATAAAAGCAGAATACAATGATTTGCAAATCATGATCAACCTATATTCAATTGAATACACTACAAAGACAAGATATTTGTATTTAATGTTCAAACTGATAAACTTTTTTTTTCGCAAATAATCATTAATTATGAATTTTGCATCAGCAATACATTCCAAAAAAGTTGGGGCAGGAGGCTAACAAAGACTGGCAGAATGTTAATCAAAAACCTCTTTTGAACATCCCATAGGCTAACAGTCTACCAGGGAACAGGTGGGTGCCATGACTGGGTATAAAAGGAGCTTCCTTGAGTTGCTCAGTCATTCATAAGCAAAGATGGGATGAGGTTCACCTCTTTGTGGACAATTGCGTGAGAAAATAGTCAAACAGTTTAAGGACAATGTTCCTCAATGTACAATTGCCAGTGATTTAGGTATTTTATCATCTACGGTAAAGTGAGAAGCTTGGTCATCCGGGAGGGGCTCAGTGTTAAGCTCCACGTCAAGAGGAGCCAGATGAGGCGGCTTGGCCATCAGATTTGCTTTGGGTCAATATCATTCTGAAAGGGGAACTTCCTCCTCAACAAACGTACTGGTACAAGGTTTTTATGTCAAATATTGACTGAGTTGGAACAGGTCTTTAGTCCCTATACCTTGCTAAATTCCAGCTCAAGTTGAAGAAAAATATCCCCCAAGTATGATACTGTTACCATCATACCAAACCATGAGTACTGTATTCTTTTAAAATAGAGGCCAAATTCAGCATCAACTGAAAAACCACCATACCTACAGTGAAACATCGATCTGTATATAATTTCAGAGTATTCCATGTCTTTGCCTTCCAAACGTTTTGCGTTGGATTTCCGTAAATGTCAACTTACAACTAAAATGTGAAACTCTGCCCTATCACCTGTGTAACATTTGTCTGAACATAAGTGGAGTATGGCATAAAATGTTGTACCTTACCATTATCTGTCAAAAAAAAACATAGAAACACTTTTTTTTTGAGGGGGGGGGGATATTTTCTAGTCTAGTCAATTGTTCTTGGATGTTCGTGGTTAGCTGCTTGGTATAAAACCTTGTATTTGTGATCATAAATGTTTTATTTATTGTGGATTCTGACAGTGAAAATATATATAGTGTTTTCCAGCGTATTATTGACTTCTGTTGATATTGTGAAGGGTTTATGATTGATTATAATTTCGACATAGGCCTTCAAAATACCCTATAAATCACTCTTTAGGCCTTGGGCGGACGTATATTTTTTTGAGCTATGCAGAGGTTTGTTGGGCCACACACACTGACCAAAAGCCTGTCAAACTGTATGAGTGAAACATGCTGACCCAGCAACAAAGCTGCACTCAACATAAATCACCCTGGAAATGTGGTGCACTTTCACCTTCCCAACTGTGAGGGTGAGGTGTTGGGGTTTGAGTGGCGCCTCCAAAAACACAGCCACTGTAATGAGCTAGAAGTGCAAGTGTCTGTGTGACACTTTAAGTCCTTGATTTAGTGTTTTCAAACAGCGAACGTAAACTCCACATTATATTTTTATTTTAATTGCAAACATGAGAGTTGTTCGACAAAGCCCCCCTGCAAGGAGTCGCTCTGCTCTGATGAAGAATAAAACAAATATGTCAGCATTTAAATTTTTTTTTAAGGTGCTTGCACCCAGTGGGAGTTTAACAATCCTCCATCATAGTGGCAGGAGATTTAATGAGTGAAATCAAAGTACTCCTCATATTTTTGCACTTCTAAAACCAAATATAACACCAAAATTAAGATTGACTGGAAGCTATTTATTTAACCATGCTCCTGGATTTTACAGAAGAAATTAGATGGGTTTTTTTCTTATCTGAAGGAGTCAATTTTTCCACTCCCGTTTTATCGAGACTGCTGCCTTATCATCTGTGTCTATTAACCGGACTCTGGAATACATGTGCCCATAGTGCATGTCTTATTGAATAATGATTTATAAGTCCAACATGTCAACAGCTAGACCCAAACAAGTCCGCAGATGAAATCGTATCATTATGGCTGAATGAATCTGACTCAAGCCAGTCACCATCAATTCCAAATCTACAAACTCTTGCACGGATGTAAGACAATTGTATCAATCTTGAATATGCTCCATAACCGCAGAAATAAAGCAGTTCCTGTACAATACACCATGGACGGTTTCCCACCATGGAGTAAAGTGTGAGCCTTATCACATTGATAACTACCACCCCTTCTGGATTTTCTCGTTCAAAAGTCATTAAACAAGGCAACATTTCACACTAGATGCCAAATGATAAGAAACTGAGTGACATTTACATGCGTGTACATCTTTAGGGCAGTGGTTCCCTACCCTTTTTTGGCTCATGTACAACCTAATTTATTTGTCATACTATGAGTACGCCCGCCCCCACTCTATATGTTTTGGCAATTTTCTGAAATTAGGATGACACACAACCGATTATTAAAATTGAATCAGTTTACTATGTAAACTATTAATAATCTGGAGCGTATTTCTAAACGTGCCCGAACCCCTAAACCAGGTATTTTTCAGCTCCATGCCTGGCGGGCCGTTGTCCTGCCTGTTTTCCATCTCTCCTGGCTGTAACATACCTGGTTCAAATGATCAGCTCTGAAGCAGCATTGGAACCATCCTGATTATTTGAATCAAATGTGTTGCAGCCAAGAGAGCTAGACAACAGACAGGACAGCATCCCTTGAGGACAGAGTTTGGATACCACTGCCCTAAACCTATACGTCTTAGCGAGAACAGTACACAGGCATTTAACATTTAAATATAAGGAACAACACCCTGAGCATTCATAATAGTCAGACCCACTATAGCAGTTTTACTTTCTTTTCATCAGTCATCTGAGCATGAATGAGACACTTGAGTTGACACAGGGCCGTTGTGATTTTGGCGTGCTGAGCCACAGGTGTGGGAAATAAATCAATGTTTCCATGCAACCCCTGCAATGTGTGCTTTGGAAACACTGCTTTATGGTCCCAATAAATTGCTGTTTACAATGTTTTAATACTTTGATTACTTTGATTACATTAGCCTTTTAAGTTCATTGGCCGCAACATAGGATATACCTCAATGATCTGAGCTAAGCTGTCACAAAAAAAAATCGTACAATGATGCTCAACTATATTGCCAATCGGAAACTCATCACCATGGGTGGGAGGAGCATATAATATCAGGATTTATATAGTCCAATTAAAAAAACAAAACAAAAACAAAAGAATAAAAATTTAAAAAACAAAGCATATATTCATGTTATTTTTTTCCTCCTCCAATTTATCTGTGTAGCCCAGTCCCAAATGTACTGGTTGTTGGGGACCACTGGTCTTGGACAATGAGGTAAAAAGGGAATAACACAATGAAAATGACAGATAATGACCAAATTGATCAACGTTTGGCAACATGTTGGCTCAGTCACATGGTTCACCTTTCGCTGCCCAAACCACATTCACCTTAATGAGATGTAAGGCAGACGATCATTTTAATGAGCACGGGGGAATGAAAGAAAATAGGTCACACCTTCATGAATCATCCCGCAAGTCCACTAGCATTGCAAAGTTCTTGAGTGTTATTATCAGTATTTACCTGAAGTTGCGTTGCACCCACTCATATAACAAAGGTCTTCATATAAATATTTGAATGATTCTTGAGGTTTGCGTGAGTGAAAGCCAGCAAAGACAAGGCAGCCGCCGCATTCCTCAGCAGGCTTAAAGGCTTAATACAGCACAGTATGATGTTTGCAATGTGACTTTGTTATCCACTCAGATCCATTATAAATGACATGTACTCTCTGATCATCATCTCCATGTCACAAAACTCCATTATAAAATCTCTTTCAAGGTGATGTCACAGAATGGGGCTCTAAGGGTATCAAGAAGAACAAAGTTCTCTCTACTATTTGGAAAAGAAGAGCTTTAAAGCACAAAGCGGCACTGTAAATTTGTAGTGAAAAATATTATTTTACTGGACAGCTACTGAGTTCACTGAATTACAGTATATTGCTGCATTGTCTTTGTTTACCGCTAAATACTGGCAGCAAGTTTGCCAGCATTTTACTGTTATTTTACATTTTGCTGTTTTTTTCTAATTTGATTACCCTCATCCATCCATCCTCTAATCCGCTTATCCTCACAAGGTTCGCGGGCATGCTGGAGCCTATCCCAGCTGTATTCGGGCAGTGGGGGGGGGGGGGATACACCCTGAACTGTTTGCCAGCCAATCGCAGGGCACACATGGACAAACAACGATCTGTACTCACAATCACACCTAGGGACAAATTAGAGGGTTCACTTAACCTAACAATGTGCAAAGTGCCCCCTTGAACTGAGTGTGGAAATGTAGTGGCCTCATCATCAGATTTTGGGAAAGTTTGAACACCACTGCTCCAAAACTGTCCAAGTTAGTCCTCTCTCTCGT